TTAAAAACCGCCTAGAGAACAAAAATCACCTTCCTAGAAATTAACAAATTGTCATTTGTGGGTAATACTGAGTTATAAGTTCTATTTCCGTTGGACCCATTACCATGCATGCATTATGCTAGTTTTCTGACCGAACTTCTTTATTACTGATCAGAAGGAAGAAAACGTACATAATCTAGATAGAGAAGCTGAATTTATACTCTGGTTTACAGAGATATCGAAGAAGGGAAACCCTGTTATGAACCTATCAGCATGGCTAAATTACATTTAGATACCTATTCTATCCTAATTACATTTAATCTATACTAAATTAATTCTATACTATTCATTATTTAAAGAATGATCCTATGTCTCCTAATACCCCCGCAAGCTAAACATGTATTGACTTCAGGTTAAGCTTGGAGATGAGATCGTCGAATTTATGAATTGAGAGAGCCTTGGTGAAAGGATCTGCAAGTTGCAATGTTGTTGATATGTGTTGGACCTTGAATTTGCTAGTGAGGACTGTACATGGGCGCAGGGTCGTGTTTGGGCCGGCACGGCATGTGCACGCTTCGGATCCATTTATTTCAGGTCGTGCTTGGCACAACCCATCAGTTTTCATGTCGTGCCGTGCAAGCCCATTTGTTAATGAAAAGAAAGAAAATAAAATAGAAAATAAAAAAGAAGGTGAAAATTGGACGGAGAAATATAGTATTAACCGAGAATGTTTAAGAAAAGTAACAAATAAGGGGGAAAAGAAAATTGAAAGTATAATGGGTGTGATTTGACTTTGTTTAATTCTTCGTTCGTTTTTACTTATGCCAGTAATTACATATATAGCCTTATGAAACTTCTAACAACCACAAATAATTATTTTTCTACATGTATTTTGTAATAATTTGAACCTATAATTCTTTCTATATTTATTTTCTATCAATTAAATATTATTTTTGTGCCATGTCCATTCTTATACTCAATAAAGTCTCAAAAATATTAGGTCTGGCACGGCCCACTTATATACCGTGCTCGTGCCCGTGTCCATGAAGTTTAGGCCCGACACGGCCCATAAATTACTCGTGATCGTGTCAGGCTGGCCCATTTATTTCGCGCCCGTGCTCGTATCGTGCTCTAACCGTGCTCGTGCCGTGCTTGCCCGTGGGTAGCCCGGCCCGGTGCTTACGTACAACGAGGACTTGATTCTTAGTCATTTTGACAGCAGAAAGACTATCACAGCAGATCATGTAGGGATGAGGAGTCTGAATTGGAAGTTGTTTGAATAAAGCCGTCATTCATTGCGATTCCTAAGACGTGTCTGCCAAGGCTCTATAATATGCTTCAGCTGACAATCTGGAGATTGTTTGTTGCTTTTTGGACCTCTAGCTAATCAACGAGTTACCTAAAAACACACAAAACCCGGTTACAGATCGACGAGTATCAGGCATCCAGCCCAATCTGAAGTAGGGGCATCCACGACTACTTAACCGATTTACAGTATAACAGATGTTAATTCGTGTGTTGCATAAGTACTGTAATTGACCTATCAATGTCCTCTAACTACTATGATCACCGTCATTGAGTCGAGTTCCTTCGTGGTCAGAGAGATGAGTAGTAGGAATTGACGGAGTGGTAGTTGGTTTGGAGGCCAGAAAACCCGTATCAGATAGGAGACCATGTGTATATTTTCTCTAACATAAATGAATGCCAGTTTTGGACCTTGATACTTCCATTCCAAGAAATTATTTCAGTTTTCCAAGTTCTTTAACTGTGAACGCAAAGTCTAATTGCTTTTTAACATGCTTTATTTCATCCATGTTGTTTCTTTTAAGAATGATGTCATTAAAGTAAACTAATAAGGCTGTAAATGATGTACCAGAATACTTAGTGAATAAGGAGTAATCACTGTGAGATTTGTGATAGCCAAGTGTTTCTAAAGTGGTAGCTAGCTTAACAAACCATTGTCGACTTGCTTGTTTCAGGCCATATAATGATTTGGTAAGTTTACAAACTTTGTTTTTGTCTGAAGGGTGAACTGGTAACCCAGGGTGTAGCTTCATGTAGACATCTTCATTGAGGTCTCCATGAAGAAATGCTGTGTTAACATCTAAATGTTCAAGATGCCAGTTATACGATGCTAATGCTAAAAGAATCCGAATTGTGGTCATTTCGACAAGTGGAGAGAAAGTGTTCAGGTAGTCAACTCCAATAGTCTGAGTGCAGCCTTTGGCTACTGACATGCTACGACACAACACAAAACTACGACCAAGTGTAATCGTAGAATGGAAATGCAGTATAATGGAATCAAGTAATAAATGTCAACCTAGGTCCTAGATGTACTGCTTACTCCATGATTATCTATTATCTAGCGGGACTAAGTTTAGTGAAAATGAGTTTAACCTAAAGCAGAAAGAAAGCAGTAAATTATCCAGTTTTCTAAAGCAAGAGAAGGTCACTCGGGATTGAGTCCCCCTAGCTCCTTAGTTAAGTTCAAGTTGTAATTTTCTTTGGTTGATTTACTGTTGATTAAACTGCAGATGATCCGACTGTAGCTTGGAATCTCTTAAGCTGACCAAGCCCTTTTAGACAGACTACTTGGCAGACGACTAGTCTTCATCGAGATATACTGATAAGGCGTTTCACAGAGAAGCTCTAGACAAAGTAGTGCATTGACTGACTCTCGTACAATCAATTCATTCCTATCAATTGGAGAAGCTCTAACAACCTAATCAGATTCTATCTATCTCAGGTTGCAGCAGAACTCAAAAGAAGTTGATCAGGATTCAATGGGCTCCATAAACAGACTTCAATCGATTATAATCAAACACTATATCAATCCAAAAGTCATTACAATTCAAATCCCTAACACATGAAACTAGGGTTCTTCATACCCAAGTGAGAGAAAGGTCTACTCCATAGAGAGAGAGAGAGAGAGAGAGAGAGAGAGAGTAGAAAACAACAATAAGAGGAATCATACTAATAATGATGTGTACGATAAGCTCTGGGATGTTAATCTTCACTCCAAGGACAAAATCCAAGCTTGATTGATGAAACCCAACTCCTAAATTGATCCTATGGTTTGTTCTTTTCACGGCCATGTGGAAATCCGGCCAACCCATGTAAAGTGTCTGGAAATCCCACACGACCAAAAGGGGTACTTGCACGGCCCGTAACGCCTTGACCACGCAAAAGGGTGTCGCACGGCCAAGTTGCACGGCCGTGTGACTGTCTATTCTTCCCATCAACTGTCCAAACGACCCCGAACTCGTGCCCAAGCCTTCATTCACGTAGTAGGACCTGAAATATCACAAACAAGAACAACCTAGAGTGAAATCGGTTTAAAACACCAGAAATGAGGCTCAAACATTATAAGAATGGTGGACAAAAACGTGTGCAAATATCGAGTTATCAAATTCCCCCACACTTAACCATTTGCTTGTCCCCAAGCAAACATGACTGAAACCAATGCAGCTCTCCAGAACTTTACAGCAACATGCAACCCCGATCGCCGGGAGAGGATTTCCTAGAGCATTTAGCAACTTACAAGGTCAACTGGTCTTCTTAGACGTCCCCTATCTCTCTCAATGGGAGTACTAGACTGAAACCAGGATCATGAGAAGTAGTGGAACTAAGAAAGCCAATTCATTGATAAGGAGACTCACACAATTTAACGACCAAGGACTCTTTGTATCGGGTGCTCTTTCATTTTATATCATTTGTTGGAACCCCTTTTCCTTATTATTTGTTTCTTTTTCTTTTGTTTTACTTTGCTGGGGTTCGAACTGCAGTTTTTATGCGCGGTAGGCCCTTATTAGGTGAGCAAGAGCAATTTTTGTACATCTATCGCTCGTCAGAGTACTTCTTTTAACTCCTTTTACTCACTTCATGTTAGGGTCAATGAAATTAGCGGGTGTCGGAAGCTCTATCCGTGCCCTTAAAAACACATCCTCAAGTAGGCAAACTGTTCAACGGGTGGAACTTTTACTTGTACCATAAACGACTTAGCCTCACCTTGTAGGCCTACTGACTCGCTGTTACTGTCACCCTAGAAAATGGCCAAGTATAACCACTTCCTAAAGCGTAGTATAGCGGGTCGGGTTTTAATGTCAACCCGGGTCCTAGATGTGATGACTACTCGGTGAATTCTTGTTATTCAGCGGTGAACTTTTAGTGCAACTCAAGCAAACAGAACACAAAGCAAGTAAACGGTTTGTTGTCAAGTCAAGAGAGGTCACCCGGATATGGTTCCCCCTAGACTGCAGTTAAGTCGGATTGTAATTACCAAGTTCAGTTTTCATGAAAGTTATACTGCGGAAGGTTCTCAATTAGCCTGAAGTCTCGACTAAAGGTCTCCAGACCCTCTCAATCTGAGTCTCTAGCGGGCGACTAACCTCCACCGGAGTAAACAGATTGAGGCCCTAATGAACCAAACCTCCACTACCGAATTGACTTCGGTACAGAATAGCGAATTGGCTCCTCGACTAAAGTCACCAATTCGCCACCTTCGATTAAGGATACTCTATCAACCTAGGCAGATATTCTCATTCTAGGTTAAAGCAGAAACAACAGGAATTTGATCAGGATTCAAGTCATTCAATCATTCAAACCTCAATCGAATATAATCAATTCACAAACTCTGTACTTGGGTTCATACAATCAGACCTAGCATACAAATCTAGGGTTCTCCATACCCAGATGAATGGGGAAACTACTCCATAGAGATAGAAGCAAAAGCAGATTCAGACGCGGAAATCATACTGTGAAGTTGGATTCCTGCTCCTGGACGTTTAATCGCACTTCTCCAAGCTCAAACCGGGCTCCAATGGTGTTGAAGATCGATCTATGGCGCTTGGGAACTCTGGTTCGTCGCTTTCTCTCTCTAGGAATCGATTTTCTCTCTCAGAAACTCGGAACCCTTCAATGTTGGCCTTCTTCCTCCTTAAATCAGCTGCCTGGTCGCGATACCCGGTCGAAATACCCGGTCGGGTATTTTGGGTTTCGACCGGGTATCTCTGCAGCGCACCGTTTCGCTTAAGGGAAGAATCCCCGGTCAATCGCCATAATCCCCGACCGGGGATTTTGCTGCTGTGCCCGGGCCCCTCTCTGCTTCTCGGGCGCCCAAAAGTGGTGAATACCCGGTCGGGTATTTGGCCACCTGACCGGGTATTTTCCTCCTTCAGCCCTATCTGTCCCAACTTTGCTCCTTTCGACCCAGAACTCGTTTCTCCGCCTCGATTCCAACGCCGGGACCTGAAATATGACATAAACACACAACCTAGCGTGAAATCGGCTTAAAACCCGAGATTCCTCGTCAGACTTAACCTTTTGCTTGTATAATTATCGGTCTATCAAACTCCCCCACACTTGTACGTTTGCTTGTCCCCAAGCAAACCTAACTCAAACCAATGCAGCTCTCTAGACCTCTGTAGCAACAAACAACCTCGATCGTAGGTAGAGGACTTCCTAGATCATTTAGCAGCTTACGAGGTCAACCGACGCACAAGTCATCTCATAGCCTCTTCGGCGAGAACGCTAGTCTCGAGTCAGCATCATGGCAAACAGTGAACAGAGGACAAATGAATCGTGGATGAAGAGACTCTCACAAACAAAAGATCATGGACTCACATTAATTCAAGGTGCTCGATTTTCGTCTTGAACATGGTTGGAACCCTCTTCTTTCTTCTTTTTACTTGTTTTTCTGTTTTTCTTTTTTTTTTCCACGGGTTCCAACCTGTTTCTGCAGAAAATGAGGGCTCCCACCTAGCAAAGGTTTTGCGGGAGCCCGGCTCTTACCGGCCATGCCAGTAGCGGGTGTCTCGAGCCTCGTGCGGGGGAAAGACATGTAAGGGGGCTGGAGGTAGTAGGTGGAAATTGGGAACGGATTCCCGTCTCCCCTTACACACTTTCGCCCTATTCGCACGGGAGACGTTATCTTAAAGCACATTTCGAGCACCTGTTACATTCAGAACATGATACAAGAGTCCATGACAGGCAGAGAGTCCACAATACCACACAATTCAAGGGTCCTAAGATCACTAATTCACTCAATCAACCAACACAGTATGAAGAAGAAATGAGACTTCTTAAATGCATCAACATCCTCCATAGTGCTACACTACCTCCCTAGGTTGCAAATCACTACAGAGACTGTCAATTCAAAGCATACTGAGCAGGCAATTGCAAGGAACACGTACTTGGAGCCCTCAAATTTAAAAATTTGGACAGTGGACTAGGCTCCAAGCACACAAACAGAGCTAAAGTAGTCAAAAGATAAACACCCCCACACTTAAGATCGACATTGCCCTCAATGGAGAAGAAGGAAGGAAAGGGGGAACGATGTTACCGGTGTGCACAGAATGCAGGAGACTGGAAATGGACCAGTCGGGAACACAGCACAGCTCAAGGGGAACAGAAGAGCTCAAACACGATATGTTAGGTTCGATGTCAGCCCAATAAGACATCATCCAGAACAAATGAAACAAACCAAAAAAAAACCAAATCGCAATCCGACTCGAAACATAAGAAAGAAAGTCAAACCGTGGTGGGGTTGCCTCCCCACAAGCGCTTCTTTACCGTCTTTTAGCTGGACGCCCAGGGTGGATACTCAGGGAGGTGCAGGAACAGGTGCCTCCAAGAGCGGATCCACATCGCTCTTGAGGTACAGCTTCAGGTGGTGACCGTGCACCCGACGGTTGCAACCACCAGCATCGGTCAGCTCGACCTGGCCGTCCGGCAAGATGCAGGCGAGTGAGTACTCGGATGGCCAGGGTGGTCGTGGTGCGGGGGGTGGGACCAGCTCATAGTGGTCTCCACTCTTCTTCCGTGCAGGCTTAGCCACCTGCGGCTTCGATCGCCACTCCTCCTTGAGCTTTTTGTTCGGAGGCGAGACTGGATGGAGTGGCGACGAAGGAATGATAGGCGGGTCCTGCAAAATGAGAGGTGCAGAAGGGTACACGACAGGCTCGTGTACCTGATCAGAAATAGCATGCACAGGCGATACAGAAATCATAGCACAATGATCAAACTCAGTCACAGGAAAAGTAGCCTGTTCATTCCCAGCACGCAAGATCAGTTTACCATCATGCACATCAATCAGTGCCTTGGCGGTGGCAAGAAATGGTCTACCCAGAATCAACGGCACATCCACATCATCATTTATATCCAAAATAACAAAATCAACAGGATATGTGAATGCACCCACATTAACAAGCAAATCTTCTATGATACCCCTAGGATGCACCACAGAACGATCAGCTAGCTGAATGCTCATCCTAGTAGGGCTAAGTTCACCTAGGTCTAGCTTTTTGAACAATTTATATGGCATGACATTAATGCTAGCTCCTAGGTCCGCCAAGGACTTTCCTACATGCATGCTGCCAATAGTAAGAGGGATAGTAAAACTCCCTGGATCCTTGCGCTTTTCGGGCAGCTTGTTCTGCAGGATGGCAGAAGACTCCTCGCTCAGCAGCACTGTCGAGAGATCCCCAAGTTTCTTCTTGTTGGTGCAGAGATCTTTCATGAACTTAGCGTACTTGGGCATCTTCGACAGTGCCTCCAAAAATGGTATGCTGATGTTGAGCTGCTTCAACATTGCCATAAAATTGGCAAACTCAGTCTCCAACTTGTCTTTGTGATGGCGAGTGGGGAAGGGAAGCTGGGGTACGTGCTCCTTCACCACTGGTTGTGGCTTGGGAGCAGGGGCTTCCTTCTCCACCCGCACTTCTGCATCACCGGCTGGAAGTGCTGAAGCAGGTAGTGGTTCCTCCTGCCTGGTCGGGGCAGGATCAGCTGATGTAGGCCTGCCGCTCAGGGTGAAAATGGCATGTGCGGTCTCATGCGGGTCCCGTGGATTGGGGGTGGTGGTGGCAGGTAGAGTCCCCGGGGCCCGAGTAGTAATCTGGCGAGCTATGGCGCCAACCTGGTTCTGCAAGTCTTGCAGAATGGCACCCTGGTTTCTCTGCCCTGCCTCCAGTGAAGCTATGGCCTGATCCATCCTCGTGATATTCGCCTGGCTGGTGGTCATGAATGCCGCCAAAACGTTCTTCAGCTCGGTCATCTGATTATCGGGAGCTGGCGCTGCTGCTGGCTTGGCATACTGACGCTGGGGCTGCTGGAATGGCTGCCCCTGTCTAGCCTGGAAAGGCTGCCTCTGCTGAAAACCACCTGCTGGTGTTGGGAAACCAGGTGGTTTATTGGTGTTGTTGCTCCAGGCGAAGTTGGGATGCTGGCGCCATCCCTCATTGTATGTGTTACTGTATGGATCGAGGCGCCGAGCATTGGCGATGAAGGCCAACTGTTCTTGGGGAGTAGAGGACTCCCGCATAGCCTGGCAGTCCTCCACCAGATGTTTTGGACTCTCACACCACTGGCACTGAGCTACTGGAGGCGCAGCTACACCTCGGCCCGGAAGGAGACTGTTAGGCTGCTTTAGTGTCTGCACCAACTCAGCCACCTGCTGCTCTAACCCGGATCTGGCCTCCATAGCATGCACACCACGGTCCCGGGAGTGCCTGCCTCTGCTGCTCTGCCCCCAGGAATGATCGCGGGCAGCCAAAGTACTGATCATCTGGTTCAGCTCGGGTGGAGTCTTAATAAGGATATCCCCTCCTGGGCATAGAGACTCGATCACCCTCTGGCTGTCTGGGGTGATGGCACTGTAGAAGTTCCCCACTGTGAAAGCATCGCTGAAGCCATGATGGGGACACTGCCAGAAGTATCCCATGTACCGCTCCCATGCATCACGAAGGGACTCATCTGGCTCTTGGCGGAAGTGAGTGATCTCCCGCTGAATCTCAGTAGTCTTCGATGCCGGATAATATCTGTGCACGAACTTATCCGCCAGATCGTCCCAAGAAGTGATGGACAGTGGGGGCTGGGTCTCCAACCACCTCTTAGCATTCCCCGCCAGAGAATGGGGGAAAAGGTGAAGGCGGATTGCATCATCCGGAACACCATTCAGCTTGAACCCGTTCGTCAGCTGCAGAAAACGGGAAAGGTGTGCCCGGGCTTCCTCATCCTTCAAGCCATGGAACTGGATAGAGGATGTGATGAGTTGGATCCAGCATGGCTTGATCTCGAAGTTGTTTGCAGGGATGGGTGGATAGAGGATGACCGGGCGGATGTCAGCAATCCGTGGAGTATAGTAGTACTCCAAGGTGGGACCCGGTGGTGGTGGATGATGATGGTGGCCAGCTCCCTGGGGATGTTGGTCGTTCCCCAGGATCTGGTTCTGAGGAGGCGGGTTCTGATCGCCTTCCATCTCGTGCTCGTCCTCGGAGTCGCTGGTCAATTGGCCGTCTCGGCGCTCCACCGTAGCCAGTCTAGCTCGCTGTTGTCTCCGAAGTTGTTTGCAGGTGCGCTCAATCTCAGGATTCAACGGCAGTAAACCTCCCGACTGGCTACGGGTCATGCACTAGCTGCACACAATCAAGCAATGCAAACCCGTGAAGTCACAAGTGGGAAGCACAGAAACTCAATGCAAAAATGAAAATGCTAAAGTAACAGAAATCACTTTTCTTCAACAACCTAGCCGTCCCCGGCAACGGCGCCAAAAACTTGACTCGCTGTTACTGTCACCCTAGAAAATGGCCAAGTATAACCACTTCCTAAAGCGTAGTATAGCGGGTCGGGTTTTAATGTCAACCCGGGTCCTAGATGTGATGACTACTCGGTGAATTCTTGTTATTCAGCGGTGAACTTTTAGTGCAACTCAAGCAAACAGAACACAAAGCAAGTAAACGGTTTGTTGTCAAGTCAAGAGAGGTCACCCGGATATGGTTCCCCCTAGACTGCAGTTAAGTTGGATTGTAATTACCAAGTTCAGTTTTCATGAAAGTTATACTGCGGAAGGTTCTCAATTAGCCTGAAGTCTCGACTAAAGGTCTCCAGACCCTCTCAATCTGAGTCTCTAGCGGGCGACTAACCTCCACCGGAGTAAACAGATTGAGGCCCTAATGAACCAAACCTCCACTACCGAATTGACTTCGGTACAGAATAGCGAATTGGCTCCTCGACTAAAGTCACCAATTCGCCACCTTCGATTAAGGATACTCTATCAACCTAGGCAGATATTCTCATTCTAGGTTAAAGCAGAAACAACAGGAATTTGATCAGGATTCAAGTCATTCAATCATTCAAACCTCAATCGAATATAATCAATTCACAAACTCTGTACTTGGGTTCATACAATCAGACCTAGCATACAAATCTAGGGTTCTCCATACCCAGATGAATGGGGAAACTACTCCATAGAGAAAGAAGCAAAAGCAGATTCAGACGCGGAAATCATACTGTGAAGTTGGATTCCTGCTCCTGGACGTTTAATCGCACTTCTCCAAGCTCAAACCGGGCTCCAATGGTGTTGAAGATCGATCTATGGCGCTTGGGAACTCTGGTTCGTCGCTTTCTCTCTCTAGGAATCGATTTTCTCTCTCATAAACTCGGAACCCTTCAATGTTGGCCTTCTTCCTCCTTAAATCAGCTGCCTGGTCGCGATACCCGGTCGAAATACCCGGTCGGGTATTTTGGGTTTCGACCGGGTATCTCTGCAGCGCACCGTTTCGCTTAAGGGAAGAATCCCCGGTCAATCGCCATAATCCCCGACCGGGGATTTTGCTGCTGTGCCCGGGCCCCTCTCTGCTTCTCGGGCGCCCAAAAGTGGTGAATACCCGGTCGGGTATTTGGCCACCTGACCGGGTATTTTCCTCCTTCAGCCCTATCCGTCCCAACTTTGCTCCTTTCGACCCAGAACTCGTTTCTCCGCCTCGATTCCAACGCCGGGACCTGAAATATGACATAAACACACAACCTAGCGTGAAATCGGCTTAAAACACGAGATTCCTCGTCACAAACGGCCTCAGAATAGGGATAAAAACATGTATAATTATCGGTCTATCACCTACCCCACTACGGATCACTAAAATGTCTTCCAAAACTCGATTTTGTGCAATGAACGATGCCACACACGTTGGGCTTACCCCATGTTTTACAATTTCAAAGTTTTTAGATGGAGGACCAACTGCTTTTTCATTTCACACAATTGAGCACCTTTTTCGACACACGAGTCAACAACACAACATAAGGAGAATCATCAATACCACATGAATCAATGGTCCTAAATCCACTAGTTCACAAAATCAATCGGCGAGAACAGAGATACAGATCAGAGAAATCTTATACTTCAACATCCTCTTTAGTGCTACAACTACCTCCCTAGGTTGCATATCACCATAAAGACTGTCAATTCAAAGCATACTAAGCATGATATTGCAAGGAACAGTACTTGGAGCCCTCAATTCATAAAATTAGACAGTGGAGTAGGCTTCAAGCACAGAAACTCATCTATGCAGTCAAAGAAAAATACCATCCCCTACACTTAAGCACGACATTGCCCTCAATGGAGAAGAGGGAAAGATAAGGAGAACGATGTTACCGGGAAAATGGACTGTCAGGGAACTGTTATTGGGACTTGTCATCAGGGGCAGACTGGAAGGTGGACCAGTTTCCGCAAGAGATGATCACGAACAGAAACAACTAGAACACTATGCATTAGGGATAAGTGTCAGCCCGGATGGCCACAAGACGAAAATCCACAAATGAATCAGTTCACGCTCCGTACACACATGGAGAAAACAGAAAAACCCCAAAACACACAAAAACACTCAAAAGGGCCGACGAGTACAGACTACTCGTGGTCGAGGTCGTCGAAGTTGATGTCCTCCATGAACGCATTGTCACCGGCCGGCTTGGGTGGAAGTGGGGAAGCATCCCAAGGAGTCCTCCATACTGGCGGGGCGCCCGAAACTTGCTCTCACAGGTACTGCTGGACCGCCTGCATCCGGCGAGCTCGGCTCTGCTTGTGCCAAAAACTTGACATGCTACGATTGATAGACCATTGATTGCACATGATTTTAACCCTATTCTTTAGCCGTTGGAGATGTTGATTCTCGTGTTTTAAGCCGATTTCATGCTAGGTTGTGTCTATGTCATATTTCAGGGCTTGGCGTTGACGTTGAGGCGAAAAAACGAGTTTCGGGTCAAAAGGAGGACGTTTGAGTTTAAGGGTGCTGGAGGAGCAAAATACCCGGCCATGATCAAATATACCCAGTCGGGTAAAATTCCATGGAGGCTGGGGAAAAGCGCTTTTGGACGTTGAGAAACAGAATGGGTCTCGGCCAGAGATCAAAAATACCCGATCGGGTATTCTTGACCTCGATCGGGTATTAAGGGCGTCACCGCTGCGCAGCGTTTCGAAATGCCCGGCCAGGCACCCGAAATACCCGACCGGGGATCGCGAGCAGCTGGATTTTAAGGGGAACAAGGCCAATAGTGAAGGGGTTCCGAGTTTTAGAGAAATAAAGTGATACCTAGAGAGAGAAAGTGACGAACCAGAGTTCCCAAGCGCCTTAGATCAATCTTCATCATTGGTGCAGCCCTGATAACGTTTGGAGAAGTGCCGATTGCCGACCAGAAGCAGAACCCCATTCTTCACAGCATGTTTTCTGCTTCTGAGATAGAGTTTGCTTCTCTCTCCATGGAGTAACTTCCACATTCACCTGGGTATGGAGAACCCTAGATTTTTATGTTAGGTCTGATTGTATGAACCCGAGTATGAATCCATTGATTTGATTATATTCAATTGAGGCCTGATTTGTGGAATGGCATGAATCCTGATCAAATTCCTGTTGTTTCTGCTTTGACCTAGAAAGAGAAGATATGCCTAGGTTGATAGAGCACCCTTGATTGAAGGTAGTGAATTGATGACTTTAGTCGAGGAGTTAGTTCACTCTCATGTACCGGATTTACTTCGGTAGTGGAGGTTTGGTTCGTTAGGGCCTCAATCTGTTTACTCCGGTAGAGGTTAGTCGCCCGCTGGGGACTCAGATTGAGAGGGTCTGGAGACCTTTAGTCGAGACTGCATGCTGTTTAAGAACCTCCCGCAGTATAACTATCTTTGAATTCGAACTTGGTAAATTACAGTCTGGCTTAACTGCAGTCTAGGGGGAACCATATCCGGGTGACCTCTCTCAACTTGAAAACACTTTTTACGGCTTTGTTGTTTGTTTACTTGGACCTTCACTACACTTTTACTGTTAAATAATAAGAATTCACGGAGTAGTCATCACACTTAAGACCCGGGTTGACATTAAAAACCCAAACCCGCTATACTACGCTCCAGTAGGTGGTTACACTTGGCCATTTTCTAGTGTGACGGTAGAAGCGAGTCAAGGTTTTGGCGTCGTTGCCGGGGGCGGCTGGGTTGTTGAAAAAACGTGATTTCTGTTACTTTAGCATTTGCATTTCCGCATTGACTGTTTGCTTTTTCCCACGTGTGCCTTCACGGGTTTGATTACATGACCCGTAGCCAGTCGGGAGGTTTACTACCGTTATATCCGGAGCTAGAATGCACATATCGCCAACTAAGGAGACAACAGCGAGCAAGACTGGCTACGGAGGAGCGCATTGACGACCACTTGAGCATCGATTCTGAGGCAGAGTACGAGATGGAAGGTGCACAAAACCCACCCCAGGGGATGCCTCTCCAGGTTCCCTAGTGAGTCAGATCATGGGGAGCAACCAATACCCCAGGCAGATGGGGTTCATCATCAACCACCGCCGCCGGGTCCTACTATGGAGTACTACTACACTCCACGGGTCGCCGAGATCCGCCCCGTCATCCTCTATCTGCCCATTCCCGCGAACAACTTCGAGATCAAGCCATGCTGGATTCAACTGATTACATCCTCTATCCAGTTTCATTGCTTGAAGGATGAGGAGGCAAGGGTGCTCCTTTCCCGGTTCCTGCAGCTGACAAACGGGTTCAAGATGAATGGTTTACCCGATGATGCGGTCTATCTTCATCTCTTCCCCCATTCTCTGGCGGGGCATGCGGAGAGGTGGTTAGAGACCCAGCCCCCACTATCCATCACATCGTGGGACGATCTGGCCGACAAGTTCGTGCACATGTATTATCCGGCATCGAAGACTACAGAGATACATCGGGAGATTACTCATTTCCGCCAGGAGTTAGATGAGTCTCTTCGTGATGCCTGGGAGCGGTACCCAGGGTTCTTCTGGCAATGTCCCCATCACGGTTTCAGTGATGCATTCACTGTGGGGAATTTCTACAGCGCTTTGACCCCAGAGAGTCAGAGGGTGATCGAGTCTCTATGCCCTGGAGGGGATATTCTCACCAAGACCCCACCCGAACTGAACCAGATGATCAGTACCTTGGATGCCAGGGATCACTCCTAGGGGCAGAGCACCAGAAGTAGGAGTTCCTGGGATCGTGGTGTGCATGCCATGGAGGCTAACTCCGGGCTAGAGCGGGAGGTGGCTGAGTTGGTGCATACATTGAAGCAACCCAGCAGTCTTATTCCAGGTAGAGGTCTGGCCGGACCTCCAGTTGCTCAGTGCCAGTGGTGTGAGAGCTCGAACCATTTGGTGGAAGACTGCCAGGCTATGCAGAGTCTTCTACACCCCAGGAGCAGTGGGACTTCATCGCCAATGCTCGGCACCTCGATCCTTACAATGGTACCTATAATGAATGTTGGCGATAGCACCCCAACTTCTCCTGGAATAACATCAACACCACTAAACCACCTGGTTTTCCAGCACCAGCAGGTGGTTTTCAGTAGCGGCAGACCATCCCGGCCAGGCAGGGCCCAACTCCATAGTAGCAGCCATACCAGCCCAGACAGAGGAAACCGTTGCAGCACCCACAGCGCCAGTATGCCCAGCCGCCAGCAGCTCCAGCTCCAGATACCCAAATGACGGAGCTGAAAAACATTTTGCAGGAATTCATGACTACTAGTCAGGCGAATTTCGCGAGGTTGGATAAGAACATAACTTCTCTAGAGGCAGGCCAAAGGAACCAGGGTGCTATACTGCAGGATCTCCAGAACTAGATTGGCGGCATTGCTCGCCAAAATAAAACTACAGCACCGGGGACTTTGCCTGCCACCACCATTCCAAATCCTCGTGAGCCTCGCCAGCAGCTGGATGCCAACACTACATAGAGTGGCAAGACCACATTTGCTGCTCCTGCCTAGGCCAGGCAAGAAGAGCCACTGCCTGCTTCAACACTTCCAGCTGACGATGCAGAAGTGGGGATGGAGAAAGAACCTGCTCCCAAGCCACAGCCAGTGGTTAAGGAGCATGTACCCCAGGTTCCCTTCCCCACTTGCCTACACAAAGACAAGCTGGAGACTGAGTTTGCCAAGTCTATTGTGCATCCTAGGGGTATCATAGTGGATCTGCTTGTTAATGTAGGTGCATCCTATTGATTCTATTGTTCTGGATATAAATGAGAATTTGGATGTGCCTTTGATTTTGGGTAGACCGTTTCTCGCCACCGCCAAGGCGCTTATTGATGTGCATAGTGGTAAATTGATCTTGCGTGCTGCGGATGAACAGGCTACTTATTCTGTGTCTGAGAATTGGAAACACTCCCATTTGCATGATGACTAGATTACTGTGATGTGCTTTCTGATTTTGAGACCGCACTCGCTATAACGAGTGCGGGTACTACGATGCTCTTGAGCCTTGTATTTTGATAGGTGGGCAGGCATCGCAGGATCCGCATTTGGAGGAGAATTTGGCCGCGCTGGAGAATGGCACATTCCTGGAGGGCGATAGGCTGTTCAAACCGATCTCATCCTCACCTCGCATCACTACCTCCTTGGAGGAGCCACCAGAGCTGGAGCTACAGCCCCTCCCTCCTCACTTGGAGTATGCATTTCTCCAGGAGGGGAATAAGCTTCCAGTCATCATCAGCTCGACCCTCACACCCGAGCAGAAGGTCAGACTGGTGGCCTTGCTAAAGTAGTACGAGCGAGCTCTAGCGTGGAAGATCACTGATATCCGGGGGATTAGACCCTCCTTCTGCTCCCACCGGATACTGCTAGAGGATGCGATGCGGCCAGTGAGACAGCCGCAGAGGAGACTGACACCGACCTTGAAGCTGTGGTTCGGGCGGA